AAAAATAACACAAATGATAATGGGACAAAAAAAGAAGCACACAGATCCCCCATTTATGTGGATGTTTTACAACACATTTTCTTTTAATTCGTTAAATATTAAAAAAAGTTTAACAGCAGAACTTTTTATATCAAGCGTTTAATCTGCAAAAAATGGTAAAAAAATGAGTATTTTTTCATTAAAAAATTGGGGGTAAGGGTAACTAAAATCGGATTTCTGAAGTAGAAGAATAAGATTAAGAAATTTTACTTCCATAATTTAAAAGAAAATAATATTTTCATGAATTCTACAAACATTCATACATATCTGATAAAACACTTGGAAGAAATTGTATGAATTTGTTCTGCAAATGGTCAAAACCAAACAAATCACCTAAAATCCCTTGTTGTGTTAAATTGGTACCTTTGACTGATCATAGCACAAAAACGAACACACGGACATATATTTTTTTTTGCATTTTCTACTATGCCATTAACTCCTTTTTCCAAAAATCCATTTAAGAAAAAAAGTTTAACACAGGAAATTTTTGACTTCTCAGAGGTTTACATCCTTAAGGGGTGAATGATTCTTTTCTTTTTCTCTTACCCTGTTCAACCATTGTGTATCATGTGCATAATGTAACGTTACAGATTAATTGCATTGTTGACTTGAAGTTGATGCATTGTTGACGTGACGTCATACAATTGTTGTGAAAAGGGAGAATTTTTTGCTGTTGTACTTGTCCTACCTACCTTCCAATTTTTTTGTTGCTCTGTTTGCCGAGGTCTACTCTGGCGCCCGCCATGACTAGTAGTTTGAGTGTAGAAAGGGAGAAATTATCGAGTGTGGTCTGGAAGACACAGTTGTGGAGGGGCGTGTATCCCTCCTTGTTATACACGTTCAGCTTGGCCCCGCCCTCTATCAGCATGCGCACCACCCCATCACGTGCTTCGCCATCTACGATAGAACATTACATTTGTTTGCTAATAGAAAATGACACACAGCATTATAGCCTTAGGGGTACAATTCATGAGCATACTTCAAATAACAAAAAGGCTCAGGGGACGAAACGTTTCCATAGTAACATATATCGTAGGATTAATAAGGCGTTTTCATCCGCTGTCACATCCCTTAATATGTCTGTTTGATGTGTAAAAACCTTCATATATCAACCTTTATTGATTCTGGATGTCTGTTTATGACATGATGCTTGTTTAAATTTCATTTACCTGTTCGTAACAACATTCATTTGATTGTGAAACCTACATATAACGAACTATGTTTTATTAAGACATGTTAATGAAGACCTCAGTAAGATTCAGATACCTGATTATATCGACCTTCGTTTGATTCTCTGACGCCCGTCTATAACGAGCTATTTGGATTTCGACACCTTTCTATTACGACATTCTGATTGTGACATTTGCTTATAATAATGGACGTTTTTGACGACTTATTATATTAACTTACGTTTGATTGCGCTACCTTAATATAACGAACTTCGTTCCATTATTCATCAATGTTTTTAACAACCTACATTTTATTCTCTGACACCTGTGTAAGACGGTAGCATCCCTTGAAGTCATCACATCTATATCGGCCCCCGCATCCAACAGAAGTCTTACACACTCAGGGTTTCCATGTGAGGCTGCCACCAATAGGGGATGTTCCTGTCTTGATGTGGAAGCGTTTGGGTCGGCCCCAGAGGCCAAGAGAACACGAAGGCTGCGATCCGCCCTTGCCGTGATGGCCCCGATAACCGGGGAAAGTCGACTGTCATTATCGGAGTGGTTGATGTCGGCGCCATGCTCAATTAACGCCAAAGCATTTTCTGGTCTGTTACTGCATGATGCATTCATTAACGGTGTCCAACCTTGCGTTGTTTTGGCGTCAACGTCCGCCCCGGCCGCCAATAGACACCGCGTGAATTTGGGCTCCTCAATATTCGCGGCAAAATATAAAGGAGACTTTCCGGCTGCTGTATTACGGGCGTTGACATCAGCCCCCCGGTCACATAGCAATTGTACTCCATCTAGAAATTTGCACAGGACGGCCATGTGCAGTGGCGTATTGCCTCCCTCCTGTCGGGAGGTCCGGCAATTGAGATTTGCACGCCCGGAATCCACTAATGCCTTCACACAGTCTAACTGTCGGGCTTCTATTGCAAGATGGAGAGGGGTCGCCTGCACTTCGAATGTTTTACTGGAATTAATATGCGCACTTCTGAACAACAGATACTGGACCACATCCACATGTCCAAGTTTAGCGGCAATATGTAACGGATGTTGTCCTAGTTCGTCTGCCGCATGGATGGCCGAGCCTGCCTGGTACAAAAACTTGACCACTTCTACGTTTCCTCCAACACACGCGCAGTGAATCGCACGCTCGTTACGCACATTTGTAAAACGCACATTAGGTTTGGGGTTTGTATTTTGTAATAAAAGTTTCACAATGGTTGGATTTGCCTTCAGGGCAGCTTCACAGAGGGCCTCGTCTATGTCGACCTGGCTACACCCTGCGGACAAGCAACGATTCAACGACTCAACGTCCTCGGCGAGAACGGCCGCAATAATATCACCCGTGACTTCTGCTTCCATCTCCACAAAATCTACGTCGTAACGCTGTGGAAGAAATCGATGTCAAATCAGCTGCGATTGTTGTGGAACTCTCCTGTGCCAGAAAATCGGAACTCCTTGTCTCTTTACATAAGGAACGACGCTCACCAAATATCCGAGTACTGAATAGTTATTGAGCCTCTATTCTAGTCATCGTTACGAGATATATATCACTATATGTTTAAGAGAAGACTTGAGATATAATTAAAGTTTTTTCTCTCTGTACTTATTACGAAATTACGAAAAATTCAAGACTTGAATTAGGAAATGACACTTCATGATCTGCGAACCAAATACGGACTGGTCTCCACGTCTCTCTTTTTTTAACTACGAGTTATCTCGCTTCCTTCGTGCATCCCAACCGGTTTGACTGGTTGCAGGTCTTGAAACACTTTGTCAAGGCTCACATGAAAGCAGCATCAGATTACTAGTTCCGACCTACATATATGTACATTTTATACCATATTTCAAAACGAATTTGGAAATCTGAATAAGGAAAGAAGAAGCTTTGCTATTAGACCTCTGTGCCAAACTCTATCAAAGGCCTTTGAGATGTCACAAAAGACAATACACGTATCTTTCTTTTCTTCCGTATTCAAACAAATATTATGATAAATCTCAATCAGCTCTTGTACTATTTCATTTCCGAATAAATCTGAACAAGGTAGTGGTCACAAATTGTTACAACTTTTCATAACCTTCTCCCGTAAAAGTAAAACGTTGCTTATCGCAGTCAGTTCCACAATTTTTAGTATCTTTATCACTAAACCAATTTATTAAAATAACTTCTGAGAAAAAGATGTTATGACATCGTAATCCACCTAAATAAACAATACCTGGGACTTATATACATGTTGATATAATGTTTTATGTTTAAAATTAGATATTTTTCACGGAATTGGATAAAGTCCGTGGTTATGCATTCATATAACTTGATGTCTTTAAAGACTTAAATTTGTTTAAATAAATTCGACGAGTATTTAGTAAGAGTAGATTTACTTTTCACAATCACGTGTCTTTAGTATATATTGGAACAAATCTATAGTTATACATATTATATACATGTATATCGATAGTTGTTATAACTATGTACGTAAATACGTTTATAACGTTCATTTATCTCCGTTTTCGTCGTCATTGCATAACCAATATATATATATATATATATTTACCTGTAACTGTGATTTAGATTCGGTACCAGTATACACCTCACTAGGGTACCTTCAGGAACTTTGATTGTTAAGTGCCCGGGGGCACAGACCCATGATATTTGCCCGAGTCCAGAATGGAGCCGTACTCCAGATATCAGATTTCTGTTATTTCCTAATTAGTGTCACAAACTCATGGTTATTAAAAGTATATGTATACAGTATCTCTGGGAGTCGAATCAAGTTTGAACACGGAATTAGGCAACAAGTTTTCATGTCATTTAGTATGTTGCTTTGGGATGATCAAATACGTATATATTACGTAATATGTAATATATACGTCTCTGGATTGATGTACAAGAAGCGTAACGTAATTCCTTTTATTTATCTATTTAATTTT